AGGCCCGCTCCTAGCCCACCTGGGCACATTCTTGGTGCCTCACAGCTAAGACTTCCACACACACATGCTTCTTGGAGAAACACTGAGCTCTTCAACCAGCCCCTAGGATTATATGGAACATTTAGGCAGGAATAAGGCATATCTGATGGCATATTTAAGTCTACCTAGAGAAAACAAAGCAGAAATCACAATTCATTTCCCCTTTCTCCTAATTTGGGCTCACACATCACTAGAAATGTCAAGATTAAGCTGTTGGGACTTAGGAGCAGAGCCATTCTGCCAACTCATCCTGGCTGGCAAAGCATCTGCATCCTACAAGCTCCATGGTGGAGCAAATTCAGCTAAGTCCTTTATCAAAGAAGCAAATGAAGACTCTTGGGCATAAACTAGAGAAAATAGCCCTGTGATTTCCCACACTGAAAACCATGTCCTAGCAGTTTGCTGTTAGCAATGCTAAGTCAGCCTGGGGGAAAGGAGAAAGGCCTCCACATGGTAGTGTGGGGACAGTACCTCCAGCTAACAGCAACAACTGTTAAAACTGCTGTGTATATATGTGTGCTTATTCCAGTCCAGCATGTTTACTCCAGGTAACGGGGTTTCCTACTTCAGGAGTAATTCCTACTTAAAGTCCCAATGTCTGACCCAGCACTAGGAGACAATTTGTGGTCATCTTCCACCTCCATCGCTCCTTGCGTGGGAGAGAACCTGGCAAGTGCCAAACATCAGCCCCATCACTTGTGGCTCTTCCCACCACACAGTCTGACCGCTCAGTGTGCACGCAGCGGTTTTGCTATCCCTACCACTGGAGGGTGAGCCTGTTGTGCTAGACATCTGGTATCAGCAAGAGGAAGCCACCTGGGCCAGTATGGAGGGACTGGCTAGAAATGAGGTAGACAGGAGCATGGCAGGAGCACCCTGGAGATGGACAAGCACCCAAGGCTGAGCTGCAAGGATGCAACTTTCCCTCCCACATATGCCTGCCTTCCTACCTTACATTAACCGTGTGGAGCATCATTGTGAAAGCAAGAAGTGAAAGGCAGGTCCTTCCCCCAGGGCCGGAGAGGAAACCAGCGGTGACGAGACGGGGGGTGGAGGGCACGCGAACTGTGTTCCCACCCCCTCAAACTTCCCCTAATCAACATCAGCCCTGATGGACCTCGAAAACAACTGGCGCTCCAGCAGCTAGATTCACCTGCACTGCGGCCTCCTCCTCCCACATCCCTCAAAAATGTAAAACACAGCAATAAAACTCAGGCAACTATCTAGGTTTTAAGAGCAGAAAGCAATGAGGGCACTCAGCCCTAAGAGATAAACAGGACAACTCCGCACTCTGCAGAGTTATTACATGCAAAGACGACTACACTTTACCCATTGCTAAAAGCAGTCTGGAGTTTTATTCTGATAGGTTTTCAGCCATGGCTTGACATCTCATATGAAGGAGCATCCCACAGTGTGAAGCACCCTCAGACCCTGGACATTACCTCCACGCTGATTCAAAGAAAAAAAAAAAAAAATCTCAGTACTGACTAGATTATCATCACTCCTGTCCTGGCAGCTCCCTAGTTGTTCCTCAGCCACCTCCCAGGCAACACGCCTTGGTCCCACCGAGCTCTCGTGGTCTGCCAAGTTGATGGCAGGGATGGACTGAGTGATGCACAAACCACAAATATTTCCTTCAGTAGTCAGGCTGCACAGTGCTGGGGATGGCTGAAGACGATGTGAATCTCAGTGAATGAGCTTAAAAAGCAGACTGCTCTTATGGATGGTTTGGGACCGTGAAGACTCCACTACTGTAACTCAGTTGTTGACTGTAACCTGGCATGCGCCTCCTTCTCATCTACCTTTTAACACAGTTGTTTTGGCGGTGGTGGTATTTTCTAATTATTTCCCCATTAGCCTTTTCTCTTCCTCTTTCTCCCCTCTCATTTTCTGTTATGCATTTGCTGCCGCTCATTTTTGCTACCTGTGCCTTGACAATGTTTTCAGCAAGTTTCCTTTTCCTTGCCTGTTCCAGCCTCAGCTCCCTAGACTCAATTAAATTTCGCCTAACTACTTTGCGAGATCATAAAAAAAGAAAATGAATTAATCTCTTTTTAACAGCTGAAGCTAAACTTCTGAGTTTGCTGTTATTTTCTCCCTGTTTTTTCATCTGGTAAAAGGCCAAGAGCAAGGCAAAATATAAGGGACAGTGGCTTGCAGACGGGCACAGCCCCCACCTCTCTGCAGACTTCTCCATAGTGGAGCACCTTCGCTAATTCAGACAAAGCCACCAGTGCTCCCTTACCGTTCCCTGCAATATTGCCTGGTTTTCAATCAAAAGCATCTTTGGAGCAAAAACAGATGAACATTTTGTGATGTGGGCAAGTAATCAAAAAAAACCTGGGCTTACAACCAGTCCTCTTACTCTAGACTTACTCTTACATACTCCATCGCCTCTGCGTCATTGTGGTTCCTGCACTTGGACGAGAACCTCCAATAGGTAAAGGCAGTGCTTTTCAGGCTAGCCAGCAAACACGACCAGCGAACGCAAGTTTCATTTTTGTCTTTTAGGTGTTTCCTTCCAAAAAAGTTATTTCTGCCAGTTCTACAGTAAAGAGTATTGTTTTCAGAAGTTTCTCACTAGATGTGGGGGACTGCAGAAGTCAGCGCTTGCAAGAAGGCTAAAGTCACTGAGAAACTCAGAGAATCAAAAGAACAAACTGTATTGGATATTGCAGGCTGCCGATAACAAAGGAACAGGTAAAACACAACAAAAGCAGCATCAGGATGGATGGGCTGGGGGAACCCAAGAAGCAGGACCAGAAAAAACATCCTGGGAGCATGTACACTGGCAGGAGATAACGTGGTGAAGCGCAACCACTAACCTTGGCTGTCAGGGACAGAGCTGTTACAATAGCTGCATCACCCATTTCTAAGGGTCAATACAGCAAGCTCCTCCTTCAAGTGTAACAGCAGATAGAGTGAAAAACCATCAAACCCAACCAGACCACTTTGGTTCTTCAAAAACTGTCCTCCCCAACAGAGAATAGTGAGTCTCACCAGCCTTTTGCTGGACAAGCCACCTACTGCTGCTTCTTGGATGCCAAATGAAAGGGCCTGGTCCCTCTGCTGCTCAAGTCAGTGGCCGGACCACAGAGCTCTCACTGAAAAGTTAAACTGTAGGTTAAATGTACAGTTGCCCCCGACATTTCTGCTCCAAGCAAATCCTTTGCCAGGCATGGTTTGCATTCAATGAGCCCCTTCCTAGCAAAGCTGAATAAATCTAGTCACCCAACATTTAACACAGCCCTTCCTAGCAAATCTGAATAAATCCAGCCACCCACCATTTAACTTAGCCAGGCTGGA